GTCTTGTGTATATAAGACGGTCACAACGTGACAGGGCAATGGGTAATTGAACTGCAGTCAGAGAGTGTATAATTGAACTGAGTATTGTTGAAGTTGAGCACGTGAGACGTTCGTTGAGAATTATAGCGTTTGTTATAGCGCGACTGTTGTAATTAAGTGTATCGCAAAGTTATCTTCAGAAAGAATAAACCAGTTTTATTTAAGAAAGGACTTGTATCGCTAAAGTTTCGTCGGAACGAAGTTACGGAAATTAACTAACGAACGGAGACGTAACAATACTATTGTGAACATTTATAAACTCACACTAGTCAAAATACGTAAGTTAACCAAAGTACCTATGTCCAAGCAAATAAATTAACCTAGAAGAATACTGTTAATGTACAGTTTAAAAGTCTTGAGTATCACTTTATTTCATGAAAGTTCATTGTGTGTGTGTGTGTGTGTGTGTGTGTGTGTATGGTACAAGTGAGCTCGGTAAAAGCGACTTCGGAGATTGCAGAGTAAAGTATAAAGAGGTAAACAAAGTTAGCAAGCAAAGTTAACAGTATTTTGAGAAAACTTGAAAATTTAGAAATATGTTCAAACATGAAAATAAATATCCTCTCGAAGGTGCTGAATATAACTTTGTTTAATGCTCTGTCCTTCCCTGCTTCTTGAACATGTACAGGTACATAGGTATTTAACAAGTATAGAGTTTTGGTAACTGTTATGTCACGAGAAGGTTGGAAGTTCATGAAGTCTATAGCAATCCAGATGCACAGTCATTATTTGACTTTATATGTTGAAGTAATTTAATAATAAAATCTTCGTTACAGTTTGCAATTTATGTTATCTTAAAATCACTTGTGCAACTCAAAGTGCCATGTAAAATACTGTTTTCATAGTTCCTGATAACTGGGCACTTAGCCTGCAGGGAGAAAAGCACTCAGTCATTACGTGTTAGTAAATATCTGATTTTCAAGAATATAGGTTTTAGATTATTAAAGAAGCCGGTCTTAGCTTGCATTTTAGTTGCTGCAGCAGAAAAGGTATTTGAAAAAGTTTGAACTCGTTCTTTCTTACAAAATACGTTGACCCCGAAATTATTTCCTTTTGGTTCGATTAATATGGTTCCAGTTAATGGTCAGGCTTATTGCTTGTTAATCATTCTTCAAACTTTGTTTCAGAGAAAGTTCAAGTTTAAAGTTTAAAACTTAATTTTGGGGATATCTGAGATCTCGATATAAACTTAATCATGAAACTGGAGGACGTAGGAAAAACAAGATTAACTATTAAGTTCATTAATGCCAGTGTACCCTTCAGCTTCAACGTCAATGGCTATGGGATAATCCTTCCCATTTCCAGCTTTCTAGATTATTTTGGTTTCAAAAAATGAAGGGGGTGAGATATTAAAGGAGAAAAGCGACAGCTCAGCTTTTGACTTTCCTGGACCATCCGAAGTTGTATTCAGTTTTGTTTTGTTTTTCCTTTGGTAAAATGGAAACTTCATCCTCCACCACTAAAATGAAACCAATTGCTGCTCATCCCTGATACTAAAACTGTATACAGCCAACAAAAAAGAAGAAGTTGAGAAGTCATGCTGCATGTACTTCAGTTGGTTTATAACAGAATAGGCGACATTGAAATTTGATTTATGTTAATTTTCGACAGAAACATAGACTTAAAAACCAAGCGGCAATCCTCTGATATGCATTCAAGAAGGACAATCTATAATCTATAGAAGAGCATATCTTGGACCTCAAAATCGGCAAGGAAGCCTGAAATAGCAAATCCTTTGATCCAGCGATCATCCTGAACCTTGTAATTAATTATCCTTAAAGAAAAAATATCTTGTTTTGTTCTCAAATATCATTTATCAGTTATTGAGCGAGGGCTTAATAAAGAACCTATACATAGATTTTTGGGTTCTTTTTTTATTTTTATACAACAAGAAATTATATTTTCATAAAAAAGAAGTTAATTAATAAACCAATTACAGATAAGTCGCTGTTAAAAACATACAGAATAACACAAGTATTTTATATTTGAAAGTATATTATTACACGTAAAGCAATTATAATTTCATGAGTACCTAAGAAGTGACCTCTCCAAGAACTTTCACTTGTCACACGTTATCAAAATGGTTAAAGGTGATGAAACATTCATCCAGGGCCAACCACAGTTGAAAAAGCAAGATCTTAGTAAATTGGTTAGTATATTTTTTATTAATTTTATATACTCTATAATGTTTACTAGAATTGTTTTCCTAGTAAATTATTAAAACTAAGAGGATAGAATTTCTAATCGATTCCAACCGAGTATCGTTATGTTAGGCTTAAGAACTATGTTGGTGAATAAACTATTAGTACTAGCAAAAACTGATACGCCTGATTTTGAGTTACAGAGTTAGAGACCTTTCAATTTATAAATCTCGTGATATCATATGTCATGAAACGTAATTGCTGACTAATGGGAAAGCAATTGTCTGGCAATGTCCGCCACCATTTTTTATGCTTTACAATTACATAGTGTGGTTTGAAGAATACCATACTAATCATATATAATCAACTGATTAGGCTGTTGATTAATTAATTAACAAATATCGTTAACTGCCAAGTTCTGGCTACTAATTGTTCCAAGACATTTTGTAATACTTCGATTAGAGTTGGTAAGCAAATGGCAGGTTCTCAGAAAGGGGTCTAAATTTCAAGTTTAATGCACTCCTAGTACAAAAAAATGTCATGTCTGTTTTTTTAGGTGACATGTATGACAATATTAGCCTTGTTGGTGGGTTCTGTTGTGGTGTGTAAGTTCTCAAAACAAGATTATTTATTAGTACCCTAAATTACTTAACTTGCAATTTTTGGTTTCTCATAATTTGGGGGTGCCCAAACATTATTGCTTAGGAGTCATTAGTAATATATTAACAAAAAATGTTTTAAATTTTTGTAATACTTATTATTGAATTGAAGAACTTGTTGTGTTATGTTGCTTTTCATGGAAACAGAACTATTTCCAACCATCTATCAGTTGAATTGTCTGAAAACCAAGTTGTTCCTAGGATATTCACAAATATGCTATATAGACTTCAATGAAATATGAGAAATGTATTAACATGTTTCCTGATGGCATAAATGTAGCATGGAGTTTTGTAAGATACTTTATTTGCAGTGTTTAACACCAGGGAACACTCAAAGACAATTATATGAAACATTAACATATATGAAATGTATGGGGTTGGACAACCTATAAGTCCGTGTTTCAGCACACTATAGCAAAAATACCAAGAATGTTTCTCAGGATTATAGTGAAGTTTCTGAATCCTCCGATACACATTACAGTTATAATTATGTCTTACCGACATAATATACATATCTGAATAGGTAGGAGATCAAACAGGATTATCAGCCAATCATATGTGCACTCAAAACCCAAATCAATGAGCAAACCCCAGTAACCAACACGTGCAGTGCCAGGGAAAGACAGATGTAGTGTGTGAATAAAAGTAACAACAAATGTTCAAGTGAAAAGTTTTTATAGACATTGATTATGATATTTGGGTGAACTCAACAAATCAGTTTCCACAAAAAAGTAATGTAATAATTTCTTACAAAAGAAAATGAATAAGCCTGTAAATACATGAAACACAACATTAAAATTTGATATTTGTCATGTGTTTGTTCACTATCATCACTATCGCTATGATTGATGTAGAAATTGGCACATTTGCTGTTGAGTTTACATCATCAAATTTCAAGGCAAGATAAACCATGCTCTGAACAAGAACTGTCCCTGCAGGTAACCTTTCCATGACAGGAGCATGTCATATCCTCAAACATTTTAGAAGCTGATTTTCCTTCAAAGTACACTGGGATAAGCTTATTGCTGGTCTTTTTCTACCCATTGCCAACTGGGAAGGTGATTTTAGCCATTCCAATGTGAGAATGTGTCCAGATTTTCCTTTGATAAAAAACCCATTTTAAATGGTGTAAAAAAACTTGCTTCACATAAGTAGGAGTTTAGAGATAGATACATTCTTCTTTGTTACCAGTTGAGAATGAAGTCTGTTAAGGTTTGAGTGCCAATCTAGATAATTTCATTGTGAGTTGTATAACTTGGATGTAAAAGCCTGAGCTACATTGACTTCATTCTCTGACCCCACTACTCAGTCTTATTCAGTCTCTTTGATCCTAGCTACTGCAGCAGTATTCTCTGTGTTTGAGAGTATCTTGTACACTATCTTCTTGCCAGTGCTGTAGTATGATGATACAGAATCTCAGCCAGTCAATGCATGTGCTGCTGGAAGACTTGCTTATTTCTGGTGACAGTGTTCTTGCAATTTCATAAACAGGAATGAATTTCCTCAGGTCAACAATCTGTGTGGCTTGCCCA